TTGAGCTTCTACTAGGAATTAAATATTGTACTAGGTGTTGGGGAGAAATCTGGGTACAATATGGTACCAACCTTCAAGAAGCTCACAGATTAGCAGATCTGTCTCATAAAATTTCTGGGGAAACAGAAATGTCAGTCTGGAGCAATCTTTTGTTAGTTCAGCACTCAAGTTCAGTGGAATCTTACTTTTATTAGTTGCCATGATTTTTACTGAATTCCCATGTAGTAGATGGACACACACACACACAGACACACACACACACACACACACACACACACACACACATTTCTTGCCCATTTTTGGTACCATGTAAAAATGCAGAGCTGTATGATAAAGGATGTGTTTAATCTGGGATGTTTTAAACATAAATGCTGCTATTTTCTCATCCTTTCTAGCAGAATCTGTTCACAGTGAGAGAATTCTTTAAGTCAAGCTACCTGAGTTTAAATGTCAGTTTGATAACCTTCTGACTGCATGACCTTGGGAAAGTTACTTCGTTTTTCTGAGACTAGATTTTCCTTGTCTGTAAAATGGAGAAAATAATAGTATTCACTCTTATAATTATTTCAAGGATAAATTATATTAAATGCAAACATGCATAAAGATATTTAACATATTACTTGGCACAGAGAAAGCTCTCAACACATCTTAGCCATTTCAATTATTTTCTCTGCACTGTTCCATTTCTGAGTTCCATCTCATTATGCAGTATTCTGGAAGAGACTGTCTAGCAAAACATGGATTGTAGACTCTCCTCCCCATGCACTTCCTCCCATCCCCCTAGAGCAGATAGAAAATTGGCTTAGGGGCAAGATATAGGAGTGACATTTGTTAGAGGTCACCTTCTGACAAAAGCCCAGCATTTCTTGCTGACATTTTCTAGTTCTCAGAAGGCAAGAGAAATGATTCCTCTGACTCTGAAGTAGGTGATGTTGCAGGGACAGGAACCTGTTAAATATCATTAGGTACCAAATGAGGACATAACTAGAAGGCACCATGTAAAAAGCAGAGAGCAGCCCTCATCAGACACCAAGTCTGCTGGTGCCATCATCTTGGACTTCCCAGCCTCCAGAACTGTGAGAACAAAATCTCTGTTGTTTATAAGCTACTCAATCTACGATACTCTGTTATAGCAGCCCAAACAGACTAAGACAGCTACTTTTGACTCTTCACTAACTTAGATAAGGATGTTAGTATCCCTACACTTCTCTTTTCCCTCTTGCTTTCCAAATTTGCTGGCCCTTTATTTTTACATCATCTAATTTATCACATATACAGTCCATTTCACAATCATAATTTAGACCTTTATTTTGGCTATAGTTTAATTCCGAAAGTTGAAACCAAGGAAGTAGAGTTTGCATTATTTTGGATTTGAAATGTTTGCCATTGCAGAGCTACTGGAGCAAGTGTGTCCAGTTTTTTTCTCAGTGGGTTCAATGGTCCCAGCTCCTGTTCTACTAGAAATAGAATGTTCCTATTTGGAAGGTCAAATTTCCAGTGGTTTCTCTTTTCTTACACTCTCTCAATTCTTCCCCATCATGTTACAAGCATTATCATGATTTCTTTGCACAGGTTATTTTTAAATTTTCTTCCTGGAGTTTCTATTGCCTTTCTTTTTTCTTCTCAATAACAGTAACACATATTTTCTGTAGGCTCAAACTTACCTTGCTATCTATTGTATGAAATCACACCCCTCTTTCTCCAGTCTTATTTTTATCATTTTGTAAGTGGCCTGTTGTTCTCTTTGCAAGCCTCTTAGATACTTTTATTTTTTGTGTCCAAAAAATTCACAAACATTCGTTTGACTCTTTTTTTAAAAAACATTCACATTGCTAAATATTTAGCAGGTACTTCCAGTTTGAATATTTCTATATTCTATAGCCTTAAGAAATGTTCTTCTATTATTTTATCAATAATTTCTTCTCTATTATTTTTTGTTATCTTTTCCTCCTTGATTCTGTATGTTTTTACCTTTTGGCTCTATTTTTCATTTTTTTAAATAGAAGGGAGTAATTTACTTTCTATGAAATGCTTTCAGCTTATTCTTTCAGTAATTTGTTTTAAGACATTTGATGTTCTTTTTTGTAGTATTCTATTTTTATCCTATTGATGTAATTTCTTCCTGAAGACTAATTACATTTGTTTTTAGAGTTCTCCCGTGATTTCCAAAATACTTAGGTTTCTCACTGAGTCACTTATTCCTTATGTATATCCCCTTTCAAAAGTGCTGGTTTTCTTTAGATGTCGGATGGTTCTGGTTGTGGTTTCATATTCAAGGATGAAAGAGCAGGTTGTTTATTCACGACTGCAGGAGACAATTTACTGTTCTTTGACTAGGTGTTTAGCTCTTCCATTAGTCTCTTGCTGGCAAGTACGGCTGGTAGCTCTGCGTCAGTGGACAAGACTCCTTGGCTGGAGAATTTTGCTTTCAGATATGTAGTAACTGTGAGCTAGCCATCAGACTGGGCTTCCCCCAGCTGAATGTTACATTGAGGAGCGCTTTGCTCTGAGGAACTTGTATGCCTACTCCAAGTCTTAGTCTTCCCCAGAAAACCCATTATTTTTTGCCTGTACATGCACACATGCACATACACATTAGGTATGCGAAAACTTTAGTGGCTATATTCATCATCCCTTTGTTTTCAGTCGTGCTAGCCGGGCTCCAAGTAAGAATGCAATAATTGTTTTAAATGACCATATAATAGTAACACGTAGCTTTTACGTATTTGCTTCTGAGGGTTCACCACTCATTAAGACATGCCCTCTGTACCCAAGCAGCTAATAGTCTAGCTTCTAATGGAAGAAACAGATGTGTAAACAAATCACTACAATAAAGAGAGATAAGTGGCATAGAATGTGTTTGCACAAAGTGCTGGATATATTGAGAAAGAGACATTAAGTCTGAACCAGTGTGTGTGTGTGTGTGTGTGTGTGTGAGAGAGAGAGAGAGAGAGAGAGAGAGAGAGAGAGGGAGAGAGAGAGAGAGAGAGAGATGTCAAGGAGATGCTGCAGAGAGAAGGTGGCATTTCTTGAGGTCGAAGAACATCTTGGCTAAAAGTGCAGCCTCTGGAACCAGGCTGCTTGGATTGGGATCTTGCCTCCGTCACTTACTGGTTATCCCTCTACAAGTTATCCTGTCTTTGCTGGTTCCTTCTCCTGTAGAATGGGCATATGATAACAGTCCCGGCAGCATGGGGTTTTTGTGAGAATCAAATGAATTAATGTGTGTAAAATGCTTCAATGATGCCTTCCACTCAATACACGTTAGCTGCTATTATTCTTGCTATTATTTCTTGATGTGGCCTCGGATGATAAGGTCACAGCCAGAGAACAGGCAGCTGGTTACTGCTGGGGAAATAAGCGTTGTGAGAGAAGGCGTGGTGGCGTGGAAGTGCAGGCGCAGTTAGAGAGGGGCAGTGGTTGAACGTGCCCATGTGACTAGAATGCGGGGTTCCAGGGCTTGCGCCAGGATAAAACCAAAAGGAGCCGGGCAGACCCCAGGAGGCCTTGGGAGCACATCGAGGAGCTCCTCACGCAGCCTCTTGTCATCGTGTTCTCGCACTACGTGTGCATACTAAGTAGTGCTATTAGTGAGGTTAGGGATTTTTTAACACATACAATTTTGAAAACTTCTGGAGGCCCCCCATTGAATAGGTGGTGTGAACAAACTGGGGACAGTAGGAACACATAGAAATGCCTCTCTGAGGAAGTGACGGGATTAAAAATAACTGAATGAAAAGAGCCCAGGGTGAGGGGAGGAGTTAACTAATGAAGAGGGCTAGACTTCTAGGAAACTTTGAACTATGGAGTCTTGTCCAGTGTGCGGAAGGTTTAGGAAGGCAGGTTTTGGAAAGACTTGAGGATGAGATTTCCAAGCCCAGAGAGCCACCAGAACATGCAGCGGCTTGCCCTGGGGGACAGCAGGCGGCCAGTCCCTGAAGTGCCCGCGCCGTGGAGGCTGCTGGGTGAGTGTTGACGAGGGGTCGGGATTCTGCACGGGGTGGGCCCGTGTGATCTAAGGCTTCTTTCGATTCCGGGTGTGCGCGACCTCCAGGCCAGAGCCCATGTCTAAGTTTCTCCAGCTGCAGTGTCAGCACCTTCTCCAGTTCCAGGTATGTGGTTTCACTTTGTTTTAGAAGCTTCAAGACTCAAGGGAAGGATTGGTTGGGCGAGCAGTTGGGCTGGGATAAGGCTCCAAGACCACTCTTGCTTGCCATATGCTTGGGATGTCTCCCCAATCCAGGCCCCAAAATAGCTTTAACGAATCTTTAGTCAACTACTTCCCACCCTTTAATTACACATGACCTGCACCGATCTTTCCCACGATCGGATTGTATTTCCTAATACCGCTCAGCTCAGCTTCCTTCCTCTGCTTTGCAATAATTCCCAATCCCTGCCTTGTGGGCTGGGGGTGGGTCCTTACAAGCACCTACCTCCACGAAGCCTGGGCTGACCGGGAAAGCGGGGCATGCTGAGTCCTCTGCAGACCCAGCTCCTCCTTTATCCGCCTTGGCTTCTTTCAGGCCTTCACTAAGGAATAGGGCTGCTCCTATCATGCCTTAACCTAAAAGTTCCCAAGCCCCAGAAGCCATTATTTTTAATTCAGGAGGCTTTTTCCAAGTCAAGTCTCATCCTTAAAGATTCATCCATACCACAAGCCAGAAGCAAGCATGGAAAGCCTCAAACAATGTTGCCTTGGACACATGCTGTAGGGCCTGTAGGAGTCTTCATAGAATAAAATTAAAACGATATTTCTACAGGAAGGCAGAGAACCTGAGGAAACTGATACAATTTCTCTAAAATCTGGCCAATGATCCTTGCTGAGGACATCGATTTGCCCTGTGTTTTATGCAATACTGTGCAAAATAAACACTGTGCACAAAGAGCACTAATTGCTTCATTTATTCTTCCATTTAGCCAGGGAAATATCAGAGCTCATTCAGCCCCAGAATGGAAAATTACATGTTGAAGAGAAAATAACCACACTGAAGGAATGACAATGCAATTCAGGTTCCGCTCGTTCACATATTTTATTTATCCAGTGAAGGAAGAAAAAAAAAAAAAAAGACAGAACTCCAAGGTGGCACGACTCTGAAAGAATACCAAGGTCACGTTTTCCATTTTCCTCAGTCTAATTTAAATCCACAGATTAAAGAAAAGTGCAAGGGATGAGATGAACATCTTGCTGGGAAATAAAACATCTTGTTTGACAATGAAAACCTTTTTTAAGGTTAATATCTGCTCAGGGGTTTCTTATTTGAGGATGGCTTACTTTTTGTCTTTATAAAAATATGACAGCATTATATAAACTGCTGGGGTTGAACATTCAAGGGAAGGGAGTAAAGAAGGCTGCTGACTTGGTGACTTCCCAGGAGTCTAGTTCTGAAATTAGAGCCACAAAATATCATTAAACACCCATAGGGGAAAGTCTAGATGACATGTGGTCAAAAAGGAATCTCAGACGTTTGAACAAGGAAGGCCCTCAGCTATCGCAGTCTAGGACTCCCATTATACAGATGGGGAAAGTGAGGCCTGAGAGGTTAAATGATTGCCCCAAGATCACATAGCTAGTTGGTAGAAGGAACTCAAATTTCCTGGTTTCTAATTCAGTGCTTTTGGACACTGTGTAAACAGATACTCCTAATATTAATTTCTTTGCCAAGATTCTAAAGTTGGCAATTTTAGCTTTAAAAAAAAAATCTGGGGAAAACAAAAAGTTTTGTGGCGAATGCTGATAACTTTGTATCCAAGCTCACAGGAACCTCATATCAAGATTCAGTTCAAAGACTGATGTTTGGGCTAAAATCAGAGAATTCCAGGTTTCTATGAACACACATGACAATATCTTACACCTCGTGAGACAGGCATGGAAGACAGCACCACGCAGGAAAGATTAGAAAAAACAATATTAGAAAATAAAACGGTCCACGTTAGCCATTGGTGGGCTGGCCTGAACTGTCCAGCACTTTCAAATAACACGGGAAATAACACGAAGTCACGATACATGAAAGAGGTGCTGCAGAGGGCTCCTGGTGGGCACACGGAAACACCCTTCGTAAGCAGCTAGATGCATGTGCACAGGTGGGCACGTGGCATCGACCTTCGCCAGAGCCACCTGAACTGAGCGAGCGCGAGTTCGCCCATCGTGCCACCCCCAGCCGAACACGGCCTCCCTGGGGCAGTCGACACCAAATCCTTGTCACCTCAAACACTGGCTTGCTCCTTTTAACCATGTGCGTAAATCAGACAGGAAGGACTGGGGTGGGGAGCGTTTCAGGTTGCCGATAGAGGCTGGACGTTCTGAACCCTGGACAAAGTGACTGGAATCTTCGTTTCCCCTGGGCCCGGAGCTTTCGTGACTGGCTGGGTGTGGGCCTTGATGTCTGCAATTCGCTCTTTAAACTTTTGCTGAAGGAACTTTTCTTCTTTGGAGTAGCTTTTTGCAAACACGGACATCAGCAGGCACCCTGCCATGGACGTGCCCCCAATGCAGAAGAGAACGGCTCCCGCCAGCTTGTACATGTCGAGGGCGCCGTTGAACTGGATGGCACGCGTGTCGACCACCACGAAGTCAGCTTCGCCGAACGCTTCGATCTTGGGGGGCACAAGAAAGCCCACCGCCAGAACAGTCAATCCGAGAATCACGAAGACTGTGCCTGAGATGAGTCCGACCTAGAGGAAGAGAGCAACAGAAGCCAGCTAGAATAAGTAAGGTGCGGCTTTTTCTGAGAGAAGTGAATATTTCCAGTTCCCCCAGATGGACATGAAAACCAAGAAGGTGAAAGGAAGACCTTTCTGACTTTAACGCCAGCCAGAAACTGCAGCACTGGGTCTTGATTTTTGTCTGTATGCACAATGCGTTTCAGTTGACAAAACCTACTTTTGCTTACGTTGTCCCATTTGGTCTTGAGGAAGAATCAGCTGGCCTGACTGACTCCGTCCCCCAGGCTCTCGAGCTGTTAGAAGGTGGCTGGGGAACTCACGCTGTTCTCCTGCCAGGCACGTTCCATCTCACAGAACATTAACACCAGACAAGCTTATTCCGTGGCCACGATGGAGTAAGACAAAACAACACCCCTTTATAATTTTTGTCTAAGCAAAAACAAAAGCAAAGCTATTGTGCAAACCATAAAATACCAAACGACCCCTTCTCCTAATATGAATGACTGCCACTTTTTTACTCATTATGGCTTTAGTCTCACTCTAGTCTGCCCTCCCTGTATGTAAGATGTATTAAGATATTCAATCATAGCATTGGCCCTGGCAATTCACAGTGAACTCCTGCTTCATTAGACCCTCCCCCAAATCACCCAACCAAAGCTCACATCCTATAATACTTCCTTTTTCACACTCTTACTGAAATGCTCCATAGTCCCCTATGGTGTCATTCTCTGTCACTGCAGCGAATAATAAACCCAACTTGTTCGACATCATAGGTGTGTTCCCGATGGTTTTGGCTGGAGGACATTGACGGTCTTTGTAACTCCCCACATCTTTTTCTAGTAAGCAGAGAAGAAACAATAATTGCCGGTTTACAGGTTAGGAAATGTAGCTTCAGAGAAGGAAAGCACTGGACAGAGATGGACAGCTTGCAAGTTGCAGAGGGAGAGGGTAGAAGATCTGTCCTCTTTCTTCTCTCACATGTAGCTGTTTGGGCTGTACTTGTGCCGATACTGACAAGTGTTAAGAGTAGCAGATGGAGGTTAAGCTGCATTAGCTCAAGTTCTAATGAACTGTAACACACTGAAGATGGAAAAGGATGTCCCATTTGATGGTTGAAGCACACAGATTTGGAAGGAACAAAATTAAGCCTGGATTCTAGCACTGCCACCTAGCACTTGAATTGTAGAAGGAAAGTTTTGTAAATGTTCTCATTAATTTCCCCAAAATAACAGGTGATAATAGTACCTACCTCACAGAATTGTTATGAGGACTAAATGAGACCATCCATGAAAGCACTTAGTCTTGTACCTGGCTAAGTAATAAATTGGAATAAGTAGCTATTATTATTATTTGGAAATACACCTCTCGCAATATTGTAATGCTGCATTGGCAATGGTATTGCAACAATTGCTCGGCATTTGGAATAAGGAATAGCAAATTCTGTTATTTATTTTTTAAACACATTTTCACTTCCTCCTGCTCCTCATTGCTTTTAGTTAGAATAACAAGGCTGGGAGAATAACTAAATATAAAACACCATTTAATCTTCAATGTTTAAAGTGTATTTGTTTAATTAACTTATTTATTAAATTTTAGGGGTAATGCACTAATAAAGGAGGCTTAGCTAACAGAAGGAAAATGTATGCATGAACCATCACCCTAGCAAAAGGGGGGGAAAGGAGAACTGGCATTACTGAGAATCTATTATGACCTAGCATAGCGCTAGATGTGTTTTTCATTAAATCCTCGTAAACAGCTATGTAAAATAGGTATTTTTATTCCCATTTCACCTATAAGAAACTGAGGTTTATAGGGACGAAGAGCATAGTTCAAGGTCCCATAGTCAGTAGGTGGCATGACTGGGTTCTAAATCAGATCTGTGTGATCACTCTTCCAACCTTTCTTCTACCCATAATACTTCATCAGTTACTATTTTGCATATTTCCTTCCATTATTTTTTATTTGGACTTCAAATGAGTTTAAGCCACCATATATGGACAACTTTCCTTGATGTTATACTGTAAAGACACTGAAAACAAAAAACAAAAAGAGTTAATCGGATGTCTTCTGGAAAAAATAGAAGCTATTTTACATAACATAAAAGTACTACAGAAAAAATTGGGCTGCAAAATATAACATTTTAGATTGCTTTTTACATTTTTCTAAAAATAGTGGCAAGTACATTCACCTTCCAAGACTAACCATTATTTATAACTTAAGAAATGACTCACAGCACAAAATTCTGAATGCACAGGCTAAATTAATTTAAATATCCATGGTGACATGCTTCCTATGTGGCTAAATTACCTCCCTCCTCAAGCACTGGCACTAATTCTCAAAAATTGAGGGCAGCAAAAAAAAAAAATATATATATATATCCATCTTGGTTTCCGAGATTCTGCAGAGCCGGTGGGGGCCAAGCTCTCTGCCTTGTGTTTCTGTCTTCCCTTCTCACCACTCTTGTTGTAACCTGACACTCAATAAATATTCTGACTGACTAAGTGAAACCACCAGACTGCTGAACGTGGGGCCAGGTGACTGATGCTCAGAGCAGTCTGCTCCTCAGCTGAGCCGCGCTTTCGATGAAAATCCACTCTTGGACTATCCCTCAGAAGCTAAAAGGCAAACCGTGGCTTGCAGATGGCAGAACTCCTGCTCACTTTAAGAACTGGAAAGTGGCCGGCCTCGCCCGAGCCTTCTCCCTTTTCCTGTTTACATCAGCGTGTCACAGAAAGGCCTGCTATGTGCGGCAGGGGCGGACAGCGTAGTGAACAGCTGACCCCGGGGGACTCTGAAGGTGCCATCGATGCAAGTCTAAAGAGGATCTCCCAGAGCTGTGCTGGCCGAGGGATTCCAAACCTGTTAACGCGTGGGAGGGAGAGCTTGGGACAACAGATGTGAAAGAGCAACGGCGGAATCAAGAGCAGGCTGCTGCTTAACTTCTCTGAGGGTGGGATGGAGGCGAGGAGGCCGGGTGGGATAGACACATCAGCATAATCCTGGTACCATGCTGGGGTACTGGAAGGAAGAAAAATTGGGGGATTGATTCCACACCGTATCATAAAAATTGTCTCTGGACACAGTTCTGAGTTGAAGGGGTCCTAGGTCTAAGTAAAAGAGGGCTCTATTAATTGAGAGTAAAAACACAAATCGCAATGGAAGCAAAGCAGCGGCGGTGAGGGCCCCGCAGAAGAGCTGGAGTGGTGCCGGGAGGCTCCTTGTCCAGCCGCAGCGGAGCAGCCTGGGATCCTGGGGCGGCCAGGTCGACCCCAGCAGTGAGCGTGTTGAAGGATCTCTCTAGGCCATGACAACCCCCCAAAGCAGCAGCAGGGACAGCTTTTGCGCTGTGCCTTTTGATGTCTCTCTCGGCCGTGGTGAGGATGTGCGGAAACTCGGTCTCTGCTGATGGAAAGCAGAACTGGACGGGGCGGGGGAGCTCGGGCTCCAGAAATTCTGCCAGTGGGGGCTGCAGGCCAGAGAGACAGCTGTTATTCTGACCAACATCCCCTTCCTTGTAGCTCGGCGAGCTGATGAGGTCTAAAAATGCAGTTTACGCCGACAGAGCTGGCAGCAGCGCGACGCAGCTGTTCGGGCAGAGAGGAGGCAGTAATGACTGTTGGAAGCAAGCGCCAGCGTGGCAGGGAGGGACGGCGTGGGGCGTGGGCATTGCTGCATGGAGCGACATGTGAAAGGCGCCATCTGGGTTGGAGGAAATTCAGGGGAAGCACGTCAAGAGTGAAGACTGGATTTTTCTTCTTCATCAGCCCCGAGGGCTGCGATAACTGACCTCTCCTTAGCAGGCCCCGAGCTCCGAGTGGTGACATTTGCCAGCAGCGGGGCAGACTCCAGCTGGTCTGGCTCTGCTTGCCTCAGATGCACACTGAGCTTTACAAACCAAGAACCGATGCCCGGAGATGATCTAGGTCCTTCCACATGCCTGACCTCACAGTCCTCCCACCCCCCTTCACCTGGGTAGTGAAGTCACAGCAGCTCTTCGACGTTGCAGAGACTCCTTCTCTCCAGCACGTAAACACCCAACTGCCTCCATCTCCAAAGGCTATTCTAGAGCCCTGTGCCCATCTCTAACTACTGCTAGAGACTTTTCCCAACCTTGACAGCCAAACTCAGTTCTCCACAGTTTCCTTGAAACCGCCTTCTCTGAGGTCACCATGGACCTCCTACTACAAATGCAATGTGATTTTTCTTTCTTTATCTCACTTAAATAGTCTACAGTCATTGATATTAATATGAAACATTGCTTCATATTCTTGAAACCCTCCCCTATGGTTATTTCTGACACACTCTCCTTTTTGTGTCTCTACCTCTAAACAATTTGCCCTCAACCTGCTTTGCCAGATATTCTTCGTACATTGTTGTTCTTCCCCAGGATTCCACTCTCACCCCCCACCTCTTCTTATTCAATACGTTTTCTCCAGGGTTTAATGTGCAGCTGCAGTCTTGACTCACACCTGTGACTTCCAAATCTTCAGCGCCAGCCTGGACCACTCTCCTGAGCATCAGACCACATTTCTGACACCCGATAGGAGGATCTGTACAAAAATGTCCTGATACATCCTCAAACCCAAAATATTCAAAATGGTGCTCTGTAACTTCCTTTCTGATGGCTCTATTTTTGTTCCTTCCATCCACCCATTCACAGAGTCCCTCCTCACAGTCACAGGAGCAAAGAAAGTGTGTAGCGCTCTGTGTGTGTGTGTGTGTGTGTGTGTGTGTGTGTGTGTTTACATGTGACCGTGAGGCATCCCTTCCAGAAAAACTTAGGTTTACTATCTTGCCCCCTCACTGTACTCAAGCTGAAAGGATGGAGAGATTTCTATTACGCACCCTTTCAAACTCTTCTGTGATTTGGCTCTTATCTGCATTCCCAGGTTCAACTCCTAACCCCTCTTCTCCAACTTCTAAACATTTGCCCCAGGCATACTGGACTATCTGTAGTCTCCCGAACATGCCACACTCTCCCACAACTCTCAGCTTTTGCAGTGCTTTTCTTTTTACTGGGATGCTTGTTCGCAGGATCTCCTCTGTGGAGCCACTTCTTCCTCAAGCTGCATCAGATACCCACTCCCTCCTGTCCCCCAAGCCCCATGCTCCCAGTAAGCACTGTGACTATTATTACAAGAGGGTTTACAACACTGAATTGTAACAGTCTGCGTGCATGTCTCTCTCTCCTGCTTGACTCTGAACTCCTTCAGGTCAAGGACTGTAGCTCATTCAGAGATGAAGACTGGTATCTTAGTCACATCTGAGTCTCAGAGCCTACCACGTAGCCTAGTGCATGGTAGACAAAGATTGGTATAAAGAAAGCATAGCACTGGGAGACAGATGTTATGTAGATGCATGTGATAGAGCAAAGACCTCAGACCCATTTGATTCCAATCTCTGTTCTCATTACGCCCTGCCAAGCTGCCTGCCACTGAGGAGCCTGCTCAAGGGCAGAGTCCTAGCAAAGCACTGTGAGCACAGCCCCCAGGGAGAGACCAACATGGCCCTAGCAACACTATAGCGGAAGAGGGAAGAAGGAAAGCCAGCAATTTGAACCACCTACAGATGCAATTTGAATGAAAGAAAAAACATAAAAAAGAATCACAATAGAAACATAAGCATAACTGGCACCTTTTTCTGTATTGGTACGAAACACTTCTTAAACCCACTGGAATGAATTCACTCATATTCCCTAGGAGGAAACCCAAGAACAGTTGGCTTTTCCCTTGGTAGAGATGAAGTCTCTAAGATGGTGAATTCTTTGACTATTCAAGGTTGACACAAGGCTTCTTGTGTTCTATGGTTAGGATGTGAATCGAGGACTTGGATTTTGCTGTATTATAATTGCTATGAGACCATGGACTTTTGCCTGTTTTTTCTCTGAAGTAGGCCCAGCATAACAAGGAATAAATAATTTTTGGATCTTGTTCATGTAAAATAGAAAGGAGAAAATAATGAAATCTGAATTGTGGGGTTGGTAATTTACTGTGAGTACTTTGTTTTAAATCCGTAACTATGTTTTATTTGATGGGTTTACAGCTTCACAAATCACATAACAACCAGTGCTTTGGATATATTTGAATGCTTACAATATTCTGTAGTCACTGGCATTTTAGGTTCTTGGCACAATAGATTTGTCAGGCAAATTTCTTTTTTGACAAATAGGAAAATAACCACCCACTTATCTGGGTAAATACAAGATGTGCCAAGCTTGGCTATGCATTTCATTGGCCCAGGCCAGTCAGGATTCATCAGAGGTGAGATTTCTACAGGGTAAGGATACTGACTTGACTAATTCTGATACAGAGTATGTGACAATAGTATGATTTTGAATTAACGCAGGTCTTGGGCAATCCATGTTAACAACTGTGTTACCCAGTACTTCATTTATCAACTAGATTTCCAATTTTATTTCCATTTTAGAATTCAGTGCTCCATACAGCATTCAGTAATAGTAGCTAATATAGCCAATGCTTATTGAGTACATATCCAACATTATTTTAAGCTCTTTGTAAATGTTATCTTATTTAATCCTCACAACTTTTATGTGGCAGATACTATAAATATTACTTTTAGAAGGCCCATTGATGTCAATTAATTTGCCCAAGGTTACAGAGCTATTAATAAAAGAGTTGGGATTTGAACTCACGTAGTCTGAGGTCAGAATCCATCCTCATAATTATTATGCTACACTGCCTCTGGTTACACCATGTTGCCAATAAATTGCAAGATTATGTCAGCGTCAATGTCAAACATTCTGGAAACTTTTGGGAGAAGCACGGAATGTTAGGGCTGGAGGAGAACTCAGGCACTATCTAAGGCTGCATCTTCTCAGTATCCCTCCCTGAAGCTTCCTCCTTTTCTTGTTTTCTAAATGTTGGAACATCCCAATGACCTCTTCTCTTCTATGCCTACTATATTCTCTTCCTGGATGATCTCAGAAATCTGGTGCCTTCTATGGATTCTATGTGTCAATAACTCCCAATCTGTGAGCTTCAGATTGGTGTATTTAAATTGCCACCAGAGATCTCTACCTGGATATCTAACATGCATCTCCAATGTAACATGGCCAAAGTCAAACACTGGGTTCCCCACCCATCATTTTCTCCATCCTAGTAAATTATTTCTCCATCCTAGTAAATTAACACCATTAACTAAATAGCTTAGGCTGGAAGCCTTAGGGTCATGCTCGACTTCTCTTTATCCCCTATCCCATATCTAATTCATCAGCGTGTCCTGAGAGCTTGGCATTCAAACTTTATGCTAAATCTGACTACTTTTCACCATCTCCACTAACACCAGCCTAATCTTAAGCCACAAGCATCTCTTGCCTGGGTACTTTAACAGCCTCTAAATTAATCTATCTGCTTTTGCCCTGTCCTTCTATAATCTATTTTCTGTACAGTAGCCAGAATGATCCTGTTAAAATACTGGTTGGATTATGTTACTATGCTGCTGAATATCTCCTGGTGGCTTCCCATGTCTCTCGAGATAAAAGCCCAAGTCCTCACTATTATCTACAAGGTGCTACATAAATTATCTGTACCCTGTTATTTTTCTGAATTCATTGCCTGACCCTTTTCTCACTCTATTCCAACCAGATTTGATTTTCTCTTTTTCAAGCACACCGGACTTGTTCCCATTTCAGAGCTTTTGGACTTGCTATTTTCCCAGCCTAGGTAATTTTATAGTCCATTCCCTTAGCTCATTCTGGTATTTGCTCAAATGGCATCTCCTCTGAAAGGCTTTTACCACCAGCACGTCTGAAGGGAGTCTCCATCACTCCAGTCCTCTTATCCTGATTCATTTCTCTTCATAGCACTTATCACTGCCTGACACTCATGTGGTTTCTTTGTTTACAGTCTGTTTCCCATGGTAGATTGTAAGCTCCACGAGGAAAGAGACTTTTTCTTCTCCTTTTTACTGCTTCTAATCCAGCACTTTGGACCTCCTTGGCACAGAGTAGGAGCTCACTACTTGCCTGTTGAATGACTAAATACATAACCTAATGAGGTGCCTTCATCTGAGGAAGCTGAGGCTCAGAGGGCCTCGTGAGCACACACCAGTGGAGGCAGACCTGAGACACTGACCACTGTACCGTATCTCAGCATTAACTGTCTCTGAATACCTAATTCTTTCTTTTTAATAATTGTTGCAACTTGTCACATGATACTTACCAAGCCCATGAAGGAGGCTGAAAGAATGTAATGTTTTGCCTATGGATAGCTTCATAGTTGGTGAACTTATTGGCACATTATTAACAGTAGCAACAATAATAATTAATATGGCAAATGTATCTATTTATGTTTAACCTGCTCATCGAAGATTATGCTGTGTTTAGAGGTTTTCTTTGGCCCGAGGCTTAGATTCTCCTTTCCTCAGGGAAGAAAAATGCATTTAGTATCACCGGGAGTGATGCACACACAGAGTACCAAACCTCTCAGTTCTCTATAGCTACAGTATTTACCAAGTCCAGTAATTTTTCTATTCCCTGAGTTAGACATATGCTCTTTCCTTACCTTCCAGAATACTGAGCTCCACCTGTTAGGTGATCTCTGGATCTGGAAATCATCCTCATACTCCCAGATCGAGGCGGTACAGTCCTCATAAAACTGGTGTAGGTAGGACCGGACTCCGTAGCGCTGGTACCCGCCCTCGGCTGCAGCCTGTGCCTGCTTGGACCCACAGACGTTACTGCAAGAACTCATCCTTCCCGGCTGGAATGACAACATCCACACGGATCAGCCTCGTGTATGGGCTTTGGCCTCAGGATCAACAGACGCGAAAGACGAGAACCAGGCTGGGTAGGGTCAGCCTACTGGAACAATGCTCTTTTCTTAAAAGACATTTTTAAAGACCTGTCTGTCTTGTAAGCTGCTCTTCTTTTCTGTTTAATGCAAAATGACCTTAAATACTTGATGACTAGAACCAGTTCTCCATAAATGAAACGAGATAAAACAGCACAGCTCACTTAAATTATGCAAAAATGTAAGCATGAGAAATGGCAACAAAGAAGCTGAGATTTTCATTGACTTGTCGAGATAATCTTTAATCTCTTAGAATCCAGTAGTCTTTGCATTTACATATTAAAGAATTAGGCAGGCACTCTCATTTGCTAGAGACAGAATTTGTCTTGGATTATCCTCTCAGATTGTCAACCGTCTTCCTTTGTGGAATCTATATGGTGTTATTGTTAGCAGTTACTCTTGCTTTCAGATCTCATGTATCTTCCTCTAACATTTTAACTAACTGTCAAGTTGTACAGAAGCTCTATCAAAAAGCTGCCAAGCAGTTTATGCCTCGTGCTTTATTAATCACAAATGGCTTGGCCAATAATTTACACCTCCCTAAGTCTAACACCATATACTTCCATCATTACTTGTGGATACATCTGTCCATGTGTGTAGCGAGAGTGTAACGCGAAGAGTAGACCCAGCCTTTTATTACTTTTCACGAAGTGTCTAGTGTGAATAAGAATTCAAAGAATTATTGATGAAGCTATGCCCTGGTGGGCTGTTTGGGGCTCTGCTTTTTAAGATGGAAATTTCAACTTCATTTGACCTAAGCAATACCCTCAGAGAGAGGCATTTATATAGATTTGGTTATCAATTCGTGTTTTTTTAAAGAAGGGAATTACTGAGGGACAGTAATTTCAGTGAATAAGGGAAAGGAATTCTCAGTTATCCTCTGTTGGTTCTTTGGTTCTCTGGATCCATATAAGCAAGTAAGTGTGTGGCTGGATATGTGGAATACTTGTTTAGATTTTTCAACGATCCTCTAGATGGTTTTCCTTGTATGGACATAGTCTATATGTGACAAAGTTAGGAACAATGTGGATGGTTATTTTCCCATTGAATCAGGTTTTCTCAGGGCTTGGGCTATAATCCAGGTCAACAGAAGCATATTAACTATTTCCAATTACTCACCAATAACCAGCTAGTAATGTTTACCTATAAGAGGCAAACATTAATCTACACTTCCATGGGGTGCCTTTATGTGGCCACTTAGTTTGGTTGGACAGAATCATGGGGCTAAAACCAAAGTTGAAGCCCAAGGGCATAAAGTGAACCCATGGACCCATAAGAACATCTTGTAAATGTGTGCCCATGGCCACAAGTGAGTTTTGATTAGAAAATGTATTCAAATTGAGGAAAATATTCCTCTAGTCTTAGAAAAATGATGGAAGCAGGTGCTATTGATGGTGATCAATAACCTCATCTTTTTAACTGTTGGCCAATATTACAATTAGTGCCTGTGCCTTTTTCTTGTTTCAGGTATAGCTACCATCTAAAGAAATCACCCACAAGGAGAGTGCAGAGAGAAAAAGTTTGATTTTGATTTTTCACTTTTAAACATTCATTATTTCATGTAAAGTCAAGCATTTAGAATGTACTTTGCTTGATTAGAGCAGCAAAGTCTGACAGATCAAAAGAATATTAACCTAGCTTTCATATTTTAAGTGCCGAGATGATCTCTTCAGTACCTTCTATTTAATGCTTATACAATGAAGATGATTAATAAGAGCCTATTGCCATTCATACATATGTAGAATAATTTTAAAATCACTTTCTTTTAAGACATCCTAATAAAAATTTCGGTCAAGGGGAGATGTGATTAGTGTTACTAACTCTGCTTTGTCATAGAGGAAACTGAGGCATAGAAGAGTCACCTACTAAAGGTTATACCATGAGTCAGGGAGATGAAAGATGACAATTAACACAATAAGCAGGATTATGGGCTGAATCATGTACTTGCATAGTCAGAACCACCTCACCTAAATATATATTTTCAGGTTTCTATAAGGCATCAGAGACTTTAATATGAAAAAAGGACAAACATAGATATAATATAAATTTTAAATATCCTTCATGGCAACAATAAGAATTATTTTCCTTAGCTGTTGAAGTCATTCTTTCTCAGGGTTGAGTTTTTTTGCAGAGAAGGACATGTGATATATTGTAGTCATTCCCTGTATAGCTTGTTTCTAGCACCCTAGGTTAAATGTTTCTGCTTTATAAGATGAAACTCAGTTGTCCAACTTCCTTAAAAAACAATATGGGTAAAATCATAAAAGAGACAGAAAGTATCATAAGATAAATGTTTTTGAACCTGACTGATTGAATGCTCTACTTTAAGTCATGGATTTTTAGTGATATTAGATACATTCTAAAAAAGGCAACCCAAGGAGTCTTACTTTCTCCTCCAGAAGCACATAGCATGAACAAGAACATGCCCTGGTTTATGCCAACCACACAGAGGAAAGAATGTGCTCTAATGCTAGTTTTTTATCTGCAATTTACTGGTCATGAGATTTTAGACAAGCACATTAACCTCTCCTGGCTATGGTTTCATCACTGTTAGAATAAGATGGTTGGACCGGATCAGCCTCTAATTCCTTCCAGATGCATCTTTTCAGGATTTTTTGGCTATGACTCTACAGAATGAGTCTATTACTGTTTGTTGGACAAACAACTGGGTTTACTGATATCCTACCACCTCCCATACCAGCACTGACTGTCAGCCTCAAGTTCTTACTTTATACTAGTATGTATGTATATATAAAGCTTCAGTTTAAAGGGCTAGTTTAAAGCTAATAGTTGGGTTAGGCATTTGCTACTAAGTAGACTGAATGTTTGTATATTGTTTGTTTAACAAGTTACTTCAGTGTTGTGTATGTTGCCTAAAATAGTAGACCTTGAGGGCCTAAGAGGTTTCATATATTTTCCCAAACATACAACTAGTTGGAATTCACTCCTAGAGGAGAATGATCACTTGGAAGAACATATGAATTCTAAAATATAACATTTTAGAGGGAGGGTTTTGGACCTACAAAATCTCAGGAGAGATATATGCCTCATAGGGAAGCTGGTAACATTTTGTCCCAATACAGAGTATATTACAGTTATTTGGAACCTACTCAGGTGAGTGACACCTCTGATATTATAAAAAGGACATGTGAGGTCACTTCCTAAAGCCACTTTGAAAGCTGGGAAATTATTAAGCTACATACAATCAACTAGAATTGGAACAGAAATGGAAGGTATGTGCAAAGCCTTTTTAGCTTGGCTCAGTGTTTTCTTAAGGAGGAAGATTTCATGAGAATTCTGATGTTTGCGTTTCAATAGCTATAGTAGCAGCAGCAAAAACAGTAACGTTAGATCTATGGCTGCTGGTAAGTAACAGATCTTAGAGAGCTTCTTTAGAGAAAGGCTTGACATCACAGGAGGTACATGAAAAGAGAGGGTGAGTAAAAACGTCCAGTATTGTATTTAAATTAGTCTACACTAATATTCATTTCATAAACATTCTAGTGGATCCTATTGTCTCCTCCCTGCCAGCATGGTCATTACGATGGATGCACAAGCAACCTTCGTGTGCGGTGATTTGGACATCTATGAGGAAGAAGTTGTTTTCATTCTCTCTGAAGGACACTCTACATGCAGATAAGTGAGGATCCATCTGTAGTTTTCTTCTTTTTATAATCCGTCCATAGCAACTGTCTAAATTGCATATACAGTTACGCAATAAGTGAATATTCATTTCTTACCAACACACCTATTATATCCCGGAGACCAAGGGAAGGAGAACATTATGCTGTAGTTCCCTCCCAAATTCTTCTGAGAGGCTTTCTACAGTCAGTATATGTACATATCAGCCCTCTGCCATTTTTTATCTCCTTGTCCAGATTTGTTTCTCTTCAAAGCACTTGTTACTACCTGACTGTCTATGTGTGGTTTATTTGCTTATGATCTGATAGACTATATACATGATAGACTGTAAGCTCCATGTGGGCAGGCACTTTTTCTGTTCTGTTTACCACTTTAATCTCCAGTACTTTGTAACTTCCTGGCACAGAACTACATGGATTGGTGTGGGTGATGGCCTGAGTTTGTCATTCCTCCCTTCTTTCAATGTTTTTAAAGCACTAACTATGTGCCAGGTACCTGTGGGATAAATAATGTTTACAAAGATGAGTGGGGCAGAGTCTGCCTTCACTGGACTATTGGATGAGAAAGATACACACTCAGGAAGCAATTAATGCAACTAAATGGGCATTGTAAAGACAATGGGAGGGAGTACAAATGCTGAGAATCCCTTGATAATTCCTTTATTAGGCAAACAAAGCCATGTAGGTGCTATTGTGATCGCTATGTGTGCCAAAACACTGTAGTATTGATTTTTTTGAAACTTGATTTTCAGTCTAATACATGCAATCATATTTTACTTTACTTTACAAATGTTCACAGCCATGAAAACATAAATAAGTCTTTATGCCTCATGAAACCTTAAGAACATGACAGACATTATTTGTCTTCATGGTCTTCCTGAGAAAAGGGAGGCAGAAAATTGAGGCACAAAAAGCATGAGTGTTTTCCCATGGCTATATGTGTGAGTCAGTTGTGAGGCCAGGCACAGGCTCTGTTCTATTTATTCTCTTCAAAATATTATTCAATTTTTCATACTGCTTTTCTCTCCCATAAAATAATTCTGAGATAATGAAAGTGAAGTTCCCATTAGAGCCACTTTTTCACAAGGCCAGTGCTACAAGAGACAAAGTATAGGCACAGAGACAATTTAGACTACTTATCCAACACCAAACCAAAAGGTCAATTCACTTAAAAGACTCAGCCAGACTCATAGTGGATGCAGGAAGGCATGAAAGCCTGCTAACAGCTTTTTCACTTTTAAATCAGGCATTCTGGAATTATATAAGCATGACCTTAAAACCTGGAAATGTGTTTCTACCAATGGATCATTTCAGATACATTTTATCTGGGGGTGGGAGGACAGTGGTAGTGATTGTGGCTCTATTTTTATAACCTTTAAGTCAGTGAATATGTAGCCACTTTTATAATTTTTGAAAGAGAAGTAATGATGTGCAATTATCTTATTCATTATCAATTGCTTTGATCCTTCAAGATATATTTTTTCAGTAGGGCACACAGAGTCTAAAACCACAAGAAGAGAACAAGAACCCATATTCTTTTTCAATCTCCCTTATCTACATACAGAACATGAGGTGCTTATGAATCTACACATGATGAAGTTTGAGTCTTACCTTTGAAGTCCTCTTCTTGTTGCTGTTTATTCTTTGACCTTTCTTTTTAACAGCGCATTCTTCAATCCTATTTAAGAAAAAAATCTCTGCAAAATGTAATACAAATAAAAATCTAAATTTCATAAGCCATTCATATAGCTTATAAAGAGTAATTTTAATATTGACAAAAATATTGACAAAGAACTTCTTGTTCTAGATAGCTTTTTTTAAAAAAACAAAAGTATAATATATTTTATAAATTAATGGGCTCTTATGATAATTTGTAGAGTAAATGAGATGACATAAATCAAAAGAGCTTTGTAAACTATAACACATTATACAAATGTTATTCTTATTTTGATGTAACTATATTCCATGTGGTTAATAATACCAACTACAAATGATCCATTTGTATTGTACAAATTCTAAATAAAAAGGTTACTTGCTTCATAGATATTCCAGAATTAATATTTTCTGGTGCTTGTTCTATTATGCTATAAACTATAAGAGTCTTAAAATTATTGCATTTTCTAAACTGGTATTAACTGAGTAGCACCTAAGTGGACACATAGGTGCTACAGTAATAGGGTATTGGGCAGGTGGGAGGGGGGAGGGGGCGGGTATATACATACATAGTGAGTGAGATGTGCACCATCTGGGGGATGGTCATGATGGAGACTCAGACTTTTGGGGGGAGGGGGGGAAATGGGCATTTATTGAAACCTTAAAATCTGTACCCCCATAATATGCCAAAATAAAAAAAATAATTAAAAAAAAATTATTGCATTTTCTGATATGTTTACATGCATTTTACACTTAGTAAGGGTCTTTGGATGATTTACTTATTAGGCTGAATTTTACTCCTATATCCATTATCTCTCTATCATAATCATTTTACTTTCCATCTGCCTAAGAAAAGCAGGTGCCCATGCAAAATTTAATTAAAAAGCCACTGCCAGCTATAAGGCTATTGGTTTCCTACATTACTCTAGTTATGTGAAATAAAATAATAACTGGGGCCATATTTTTCAAGAAGCAATTAAGAGTTCTTTCTGATGAGCAGATCCCTACTTACTTGCAGGAGAACCTATAGACTTGAGGTGAGTAAGCCCAGCTGAGGCCTGACTAACTGTTTTCAACATTTCTAGTGTCAGTCTATATAGACTATAAGCAAACCTTCAAAACACTTCCTTTTCTCCAAATTTTCTGAGTGGTATGTGAGCAGATTTGGTGAATGAAGCAAATTATATCCTGAATCTGGATAAGCAAAAGAAAACAAGCTAACCATAGGTCACTGCATTCTCCTATCTTTCCTCCTTCTGTCCTTCTAAATTAAATTTCCCTTCTTTTCATCTGGAGCCTTCCCCATTTTCTCTTAAGAAATTGATTCCACACATGCCCTTCACCAAAGGTTGGCCTGGTCTGGAGCCCAAGGAGCTCTCCAAGGTTCTGAAAACATTTCTGCTACAGAGCCAGAAACCAATTAAGCCAATACTAGCTGTTTTTATTTGGAATAATAAATTCCAGCTCTGTTTTCTTTGAGGTTACCAGACCCGGTCTGACCCTCACTCCAATGTCCCTTTCTAAAAACACAAAAACGTAGGTCCTGACATCATGTCAAAACACTCAAACACCTTTAGACATGGCAAAAGAGTGGGGAGGGTCAGTTAAGCCTGGAAAATAAATCAAACCAGCTTTCCTTGCTCCACATACACGTATTTTACTTTCACCTAATATGCAACTTTTTTTTTGTCTCAAAGGAAGGAAACTCTCAAGTTTTTAGCTGTACACCACCCAAATTCTTACATAACATAGACCACAAACCACCAAAGCATGGAGTTGGCTACCTCCAATTTGTATGTTTTCACGGATTTTAATACATATGGTTTTTGCAGAGATTTGAATGGGTAGTGAGAGAGAGAGAGAGAGAGAGGGAGGGAGAGAGAATATTTGTGTAAGGAGGGAGGAAGGAAAGAGAGAAAGGGAGCAGAGGAAGAACTGGAGAAAGACATCTGGAGTATAGAGAGCCGCCACCCCTGGACTCCGCATAGCTTTACCTGCCCCCTCCGATCCCCTGACCCGTGGAGCAAGTGCAGCTAGCCTAGCCGCAGATCTCTCGCCGGGGTCCCATCGCCGCCGCCGCCGCCGCCGCCGCCGCCGCCGCCGCCGTCACCGCCGCTCCGCCTCGCGGAGCTCAGCCTGCGCGTGATTGACAGCCGGGGCCCCGCGTGCCCGCGCAGCCCAGGCCCGCGCAGCCGCCGCCGCCGCCAGAGTGGGCGGGGCGAGTGGGCGGGGCGAGCGGCTGGCGCGCCAACCGCCTTCCTGCCTGCACCCTGGGGCTGCTGCCTCCCCATGGGAAGGTGGCAGGCCCCTGGAAGGCTGGTCACTGGGCCCTGCTGAAGCTCCTCGGGCAGGCACCTTCTCTGCCTTTCTGCCTCGTCTGTCCACCGCTGTATTCTACTGCCCAGGCCATGGTCCGGCCACAGTGGACTCAGTATGCAGTCCCGGTTGCTTAGCGGCCAGGACGAAGATCAGTTTTGAGAAGGGTGTCGTCCTTAGCCCTTAGGCGACTTAGTAGTGCCAACATCTTAGCGTGTGCTTACACAAACCTGGATGGTATATGGTGCCATCTAGGTATATGGTAGGCTATATGGTAGAGCCTCGTGCTCCTAGTCTACAAATCTGTGCAGCATGCTACTGTACAGATTGAATACTGTACAGGATTCTATTGTATAGAATGCAGTATACAGTATGCTAGTGTAGAGTATGCTGTTGAATACTGTAGACAATTGTAACACAATATAAGCATTTGCGTATCTAAACATCAAAAAGGTATAGTAAAAATACCATATTATAATCTTACGGGACCACTGTGGTGTAGTGTTTGCAGTCCATCGTAGACCTAAATATCGTTTTGCCGTACATAACTACATATTCTCTTTACATACATAATTTTTTTAATTATTTAAATTTTTTTGAGACAGAATCTCACTCCATTTCCCTGCGTAGAGTGCCATGGCGTCATCCTAAGCTCATAGCAACCTCAAACTCCTGGGCTCAAGCGATCCTCCTGTCTTAGCCTCCCTGGTAGCTGGGATTACAGGCATGCGCCACCATGCCCGGCTAATTTTTTCCATTTTTAGTAGAGACAAGGGTCTCACTCTTGCTCAGGCTGGTCTCAAACTCCTGAGCTCAAGCAATCCATCTGCCTCTGGCTCCCAGAGTGCTAGGATTACAGGTGTCAGCAAGGGAGCTTGGCCTAATTTAAAAAAAAAAATGAATGAAGAGGCAGCTGGACTTGATGTGTGTTTCTTCCACTGTCACTTCATTTGAGGTATGTTTTCTGTCTTTGATGAGACAGGAAGTGAGGAGCTTCGCTTGGCTGGCAGAGCACTGCCCAACTGAGGGAATTTTCTCTTCTCTTTCAGCTTTGGATAATTTCAGTTCCTCACTTGTTCCTGACCCCAATTATCAGGAAGTCTAAATGGATGAGATGAAAGAAAGATGAAGAAAATGAATTAAATTATGATATTTAAGGAAAAACCAAATAAATTCATAAAGGTAAAAACATACCAGAAAATTACTTCTGAATGCCTTAGAAAATTTGCATAGGCATGAACAAGTTCGTATATAAATCCAATAACTCCTGCTTTAGGAGACTTTCTGGAAACCACTGGTAGGTGACATTTAATGAGAATGATTACTAAAATAGTTAATATTTCATGGCCACAATACACATAATAGTAATAATACATAACATTTATATGGTGCTGACTATATGGCAGGCATTGCTTAAGTACTTTACATATATATTAATTACATATATGTAAATATATGAAATCATTTAATCCTCATAGCAACCCTGTGTGGTGGGCACTCTCTATGATCCCAGTTTTACAAATGAAGAGACTGAGGCACAGAGAAGTGACTTGTACCATGGTGATACAGACTCACAATCATTTGTTGCAGGTCACACACTACTAAATGGGGTAGGTGCACTGCAGTCTAAGAGGTGATCTCTTAGAGAGGATTTAGAGTAAAAAGATAACACTATGTCTATTATTTCCTCACATCCACATAGGTTTCTGGAAAAAGCCTAAAAAAATTAAGAAACACCTTTATTCTGATCAAACAGTAGAGAGATCAAAGCAACTTGTTGAACAAATGCTTAGAGGGGCACCAAGGACAGGGATGGCTCTGTCTTCTTTGTTCCTCGGGTCCACAACTCTGCCCCAGCACTCTTCAACACCACTTAAACATGCAGATGCCACTTTTTTCTTTCTCCCTTCCCAGGTTGCATAAAAAGTGCACCTTTCGTGAGTTTTGAAATGTTGCTTGTTAGCTTGCTTTTCTCATATTCAGTGTGTGGATCTGGTGAACATTTATTTATTCTCAGGTTGTAACATGGCCATGTGTGTTTTCTCATCCTTGTAAATGCATAAGAATCAGCTCATATGCAAAATTCCAGGGGTTCTTAGTTCCTCTTTTATCAGAGATTAGGCTTTGGGAAGGGCATGGCTCGCTGGTGTCTGGTGAGTGTTCTGGTGTCTCTTGATAACACATCCATTCATTCAGAGAGGTAATCAAATTAGGACTTAGAATGGACAGTAGTGGTTTCTAATCCTGATTTCTCCACATCCTAGATATTTAGCCCTGTTCACATTGCTTCACCACTGTTACGCCATTTTCCTCATCTGTAAATATTTATAATAATATCTACTTCATAGAGTAGTTATAAGAATTAAATGAAATTCTATTTATAAAGCATTTATTGCAATATCTGGCACATAGTATATACCCAATAAATTATAGCTATTATTATTATTTTACTGTTATTTAGCTAAACCTTTTAAAAGCCAGTGAGTATTTTTAGCTTGAAGTCTCAAGTTTCCCAGGCACTTTTCATTTGGTTTATCTCCTCGTTTGCCAGATCCATTGCCAACTTGTGCCATCGCTGGCCCCTCTGCTGAAGTTTCCAATAACGTGGCACAGGGGTCACCTCCTATTCAGTAAACTGGGGGCAACACGAGTCTTCCAATTCCTCCAGCACGTCTGCTTTTGCTTCTCTCTCAAGGGAAGTCACTTGAATTAGTGAGATAAAGACAGACATAGTTTATATACCTCAAGGTGCCCTTAACGTATGAGTTATCACCATTATCTTGATTTTCACAAGCCATAGTTTCTATTTGTTAGTTTTGCAGACATGAGGGAACAAAGATGATTACTTTGAAGCAACCAAATTTTGACTTAGAACATAACACACCATTTCCCTGGGTCATGTTATTCAGAAACATTAACAGTGAATAGCTTATTAATTTATTATTCAACACACATTGGTTGAACGTCTGCCATTTAAAGCACAAAGGGTGAGGTATAAACAGAAGCATTATGGAGAGTCACAGAGAAGAGGGGTTGTTGTTTCCTGGGTTGTTTTCCAGAAGGGATGTTGTGATTAGGCCTCAAACTCCTTTTCTAACTTCACATCTCATGACTCTCCTTCTAGATCCATTTTTGATCACACTGAACGTATTTGGTGTTCTTTGTACACACTTTGTACTTTTTTCCTGCCTTTATTTACTCTAGTGGTAGTTTTTGCTTCTTCACCCATACCTGTGGCTCTACGAACTGCCTGGTCTTCAAGTCTTAGTACAACGGCCACCTTTTCAATAAAGCCTTTGATACGCTTGAGTACAACTCATTGTTCTTTGTTTTGAACCCCTATAGCATCTAGTCTTACCTGTCATAGGATACTAACAGGTGTTTTGTCTAGTACTGGAATTATTTTTGTATCTATTTACTGTCCCTTGTTAGGCTTATAAGCATCAAAAAGAAAGGGTTTGTTCACAATTTACTTCGTATTTCCACACAATGACTAGCACATTTCTTTGTACAACTTAAGTACTGACTTTTGGTAAATGAATACATTAGCAAGTGAATCATGTGGATCTAGAGATGGGCCTTCACAGGTGGATAAGATCTGGCTGGAAGGAGGAGGCAAGAGAGCATTACCGCAGGCTCAGGGAATGAAAAGCACAAGATTCAGGTCACTATGTCAGCTCCCAGGTGTGTTGCTGGAATCCAGGGTCTGTAAGAGTGGAATCCAGGGTCTGTAAGAGACAGAACAGTGGTGAAGAAGGGGCTCCATTCAGTTCCTCCACTTGGCGGATGAGAGGCAGAGCCTGTAGCCAATGGTGACCTCCATTGCTCCTCATGACAGCAGCCTAGTCAGCCTTTGCCCGCCCGGCTGTGCAGCCTGTCCAAGCCGGGGCCACGGTGTTCTGCACCAGGCAGAACGTGTCATTAGTATGCGCTCTGTGTTCCCGGACAGAACAGATGTCTGTCTGCATTTTTCTGCTTAATGATGATGACAGGTTCCCAGTGATCAAGATCCAATTTCACATTTTTTTTTGAAATGCTGTGGCTGAGAAATTCTGTTTGGCCAGTTCTGAGGCCCAGCCTCCCATGTTGCAGGGAATCTTTGCTCTGCAGATTGGCATGTACAGAGGGTGCAGGAGGCTGGAGTGGTGGCAGCGCTTAGCCTTGCTATGGTGGAGCAGCTAACCGGAGGGAGTACTGGGCATGGTCTCCACCCAAATATGTGTGCTTCTCTGTATTCCCTTCATGGCATCAGTAGAATCTTTGCTGGTCTTGCAAATACACTGCTACACGAGAATATTTGGCATTTGAAATAGTTTCTCTTTACAACCCTCTATTTGGAAGGTAGAACATACTGGCAGCTACTTTAGTTATAAATGAAAAAGTCAATTAGAGTCTTCCTTGCAATAGAGTGATTTTGAGGACAGGAGAGAGAACAGGAGTTGGCTAGAGAGAAAAGTCAGGTCCAGAGACTGAAAAGCTGCCCCAGAATCCTAGAACAGTTCATCTCTGTAGTGTTTATGAGAGGCAAGTTGAGGGGAGAATCCTGAAAAGGTAGATTAACTTCACTGATGGCTTATTTTTGTTTGGAGTCCCCAAATAACTGAGACTCGAGACTTAGAAATTGCTCTGCATGGCATGGCTTGTGGCTATTGACACAGATTCCATCTCTCCTCTCCCGCCTCCTCTTACTCCTTCCTCCCCAACATCAACCCTCACTTTGATCTGTGTTTCTTGTTGCCTTCTGGACACATCCAGTGCCAGCTTCATCGGCGTGCGATCAGTGC